AAGAACTGAAGCTGGGGAGAAGTGACCTCCTGTCGCTTAGGCCCTGTTTCTGAGGCATCTGGCAACTCACTGTGGGAAATAGGATGCGGGATTAGATAAGAACATAAAAGGCCAATGGCATGTCTAGTCCAGCCAACCAGATGCCTGTGAAAAACCTGTAAGCAAGACCCGACCACAAAAACACCCTCCCCTCCTGCAGTTTCCAGCAGCTAGTATTCGGAAGTATTACTGTCTCTGACCCTGGAGGCAAAGCATAGACGTTGCAGCTTGCAGAGGTGTAGCTAGGGGTTGGCAAAACTGCCTCCCGCGGGGGCAAAGCGCCAGGTAGGGGTGTGTGCAAAAATCATCTACCAGACTACAGCATGTATGACTTATTTGTGTGTGGCAATGCACCACTGCTGTCGCGGTGAGATCAAACTCAGGAGAAGCTTCCTGTCCTTCTTGCACCATGGCATAAAGGCATATGAATTTTTCCACCCTTCCTCCTTGCCTTGCCCTCACTTCATATGCTTTGAGTACTTGGGTTGTGTAAAATGTGGTGATTTCTAATGTTGCTATTGCAGTAAAGTGATTGGGGGTTGCCGGTACAGCTCACTGCCAAGGGCACAAGGGACCATCTGGTGGCTAGTAGTCTTCTCCTCTGTGATTTTTTAATCCCTTCCTAAAGCCATCCAAGCCGGTGGCAATCACACCTTCCTGTGGGAGTGAGTTCCATACTTTAACTATGTGCTTTGTGAAGCAGTTCTTTCTTTTATCTGTCCTGAATGCCCCAACACTGTGCTTCATTGGATGCCCACAAGTTCTAGTGTTACGAGAGAGAGGGAGAGAGAGAGAGAGAGAGAGAGATTTGGTTGGATTCTGCAGGGCTCCTCTTATGTTCTTAATGTAAACATTTGACATGTGTGTTTGCACTCCCTTCCCACAATAAATGGCAATCAGTTACGGGGATTTTGTATTTTGTATTTGTTTTATGAATGCAGTTTTATTGTTGATTGTGGTGATGTAGTTAATGTTGGTGGTATAGAAATTTTTCAAATAAGTTGGCTATATCTTCCAATTGGAAGCAATGGTTTTTTAAGGCCTTCCTCTAGGGGGGAAGTGGGGCCAATTTCCTCCACAGCATTTTTTTTACTTTTTATTGATATGTTACAATCAATAACACTCAGTTCATGATAGTGTTGGTGGTTAGCACACACAAACACACGCAGAGAGCAATTCTGAAATCAAAACAACCGTAAGGCGTAGGCTAGTCTGACAGGTTATGATTGTTTTTTTTTATTATTATTCAAAATTATAACAAGACATATTATCCAAAAACATATCATCCTTGTTCCTCCCCCCCATTTTTCCTCCCTCCCCCCTCCCACACAAAACCCACCCCCCGACTTCCCTCAGTTCCAGTCTTTGGTTTCTCTGAGACTGCTGTTTTCTGCATGTTACAAAGTTGTATAGATCCTCAAACTATTAAGCTGGTTATTATCAATAAAAAGTTTGTGAATGTTTATTCAAAACCTGCCAAGGAGTCCAGTTTGCTTTGTTGCGTCTTCAGATACTTTGTAAAGGGTTCCCATTCATCCTTAAAGTCACAGTTATCCTTGTCCCATAGCTTATATGTCAGTTTTGCCAGTTCTGCATAGTCCATCAATTTTTCTTGCCCTGATTCTTTAGTTGGGGTTTCTTCAGTCTTCCATCCTTGTGCTACCAGAACTCTCGCGGCCAAAAGGTTATGATTGTTGATCGCAGTTCATCTGCGTGGCTGAGAAGGGATTTGAACCTGAGCTTTCCTTGTTTTAGGCTAAGCGCTAATCCGCACCACACATTTAAAGCACGTTGCTTCCCGCAAAGAATCCTGGAAACATTGGTTTTTAAGGGTGCTGGGAATTGTAGTTCTGTGAGGAGTAAATGACAGTTCCCAGAATTCTATAGATGAAGCCGTGTGCTTTAAACATATGGTATGGATGTGACCCAATACTCTTAACTACTAAAGTGCACTTGTTCTTAGCTCTGCAAGGAACATTCAAGAAGGTCAGAGGCAACATTTGAGATTTCTCAGTTTGCACATCCCACTTCTTTCAGGTTTAGGGGATTTTCTGACCCTTCCTTCCTGCACTCCCTCCTGAAATGCTAAAGCTAGGCCTGTTCAGTTTGGCCCCTTCTGCACCGCACATTTGAAGCAATATTACTTTAAGAGTTACGGCTTCCTCCAAAGGATCCTGGGAACTGGTGTCTGTTAAAGCTGCTGAGAAGTTCTTAGGAGACCCCTATTCCCCTCACAGAGCTACAGTTCCCAGAGTGGTTTAACATTCAATGCCTCTTCGCGGGGGGACACTTGGCACTGTAGCTCTCTGAGGGGCGTAAGGGGTCTCCTAACAATGCTCAGCAGCTTTAGCAAACTGCAGTTCTCAGAATTCTTTGGCTGCTTAAAGTGGGATGACACTGCTTTGCATATACTGTGCAGATGGGGCCTTCACACAAGTGTCAGGGAGTCAGAGATCTTGAAATCGAAGCTTGGTTGTTGTTGCTTGGTTAGTTTCTACTGAAGGAAATTAGCAATTGAAAATAGCTAGGATGCATGGGTGCATTTGGCACTTCTGCTTCTCCGACGAATAAAAAGAAGCAGTTGGACAGAAATCGTTTCAGGAAAAAGAAAAGGAAAACATATGTTAGTTATTGTATTTTGGTGGCTGCTCCGTTAATAACTCTGACATGTCACTCCAATTCTGGTGGGTCTGATAGATTAAACATGAGCCTCTCATTATTCAAGGTGGTTAAATATTTTGGCTTGCTTTACCATCCTAATATTTATTCCTCGCACAGTCAGGCTACCAAAATTGACATCTTCTTTTTAAATGGTTTGGCAGCGGTGATTTTTTTTTCTCCTCCGGAATTGCCACTGATGTAAAGTATTGCTGGCTGGCATCACTCCCCCCCCCCCTTTTAATTATTCTTGACACCGTAGAGAAACATCTAATATAAATCTGTAATGCCTGCTGATGACAGACTACACGGTTGGAAGACCATGTAATCTCTCCACAATTAATTAAAGTGCATAGAGTTGTTGATTTCTCTTGCTCACTCGCTCTGTGTGTGTGCGTGTGTGTGTGTTTATCTAGCATCCAGATGCCGCCGACTGGCTGAAATAATACTGCTGTCAACTGTAAAAAATTAAGATCCAGACCCTAAGAAAGATATTTCGATAGAGAAACCAGATGCCTGGTTATTTTCCTTTTTTGGGTATCGTTTTGTTGGAAGCCGCCATTGTTCAACAGCTGTAGCTCTGCATACTTAATTACTCATGTAATTTAGCAAATCTGCCGGTGAGACTGCCCCCCACCCCGACAAGTGCTTGTCACTTTGGTAGATCTTCTATGGAAAAATAAAAACATAGAATAATGCTAACTGGCATAAACAAGGATACAAAGTACCGCACCCCAAAGTACCCCAAGTGGGTAACCAAGCGAGTGGGGTGAGGGATAGTTTCTTCGAACATGATGTCCTAGTATAAATGGGTTACCAGGTGGAGGGTGGATTCTTAGAACATGATGTCGTTTATTATGTGCTTGTTTGAAAAAATGGTCTTGCTCTGGAAGTGCTTAGAACAGTGATGGCCAAACCGTAGTCCCAAAACAGCTGGAGGGACAAGTTTGGCTATCACTGGCTTAGAATAACTGACAGGTTTATGTTAGCACCTGAGACAGATCAGCAGCAAACTGAATGATAAGTTAGACTATTATTGCCACATCTATGTGGTTGATGAGGTGGCATTATTATTATTATTATTATTATTATTATTATTATTAATATTATTATTAATATTAATCATAATAGTAGCAGTAGTAGTATCCTACTTTTTCCCCAGACTGTGACTCAAGACTGCTTAAACGAATTAAAACATAGATAAAATACATAAAGCTAAAACATATATAATTAATTAAACCGTAATAGAATTAAAATGATATAAAGACAAATCTTTTGAAATGTAAATAGTAAAAACCTGCAATGTGATTATCTATTTCACCACTGCTTCAGTTCGGATTCACTCTGTGCAAGGGCATGAGTGGCGTGTCTGATATTAGGAACATAACAATTGCCATGCTGAAGCAGACCAAAAGGACAGTCCGCTTCATCCCTCTACCTACAGTGATGGCCAAAGAGTTGCTCCTAGAAACCCTGGTGGAGTAAATATTCTCCTGGATCTGCCTCTGAATGTGGAGATTCTCCTATTTTGCTCCTTTGTCATTGAGAATGTGGATGGAGACTGGCGCTGGGGGTGGGGAGAGTTTGTTCACATTTTGATTAGGGTCTGTAAAATGCACTTTTCTGGAACCAATGTGCAAGCCAATGTACATTATGCCATAGAGATGAGGCAGGATCCAAGCTACGCAGTGCTTTGGCACAGCTATTCTTTGAATTTGGCTCCAAATTTTGCAGCCGACTTCTGCATCTCAAAATTACATACACCCATGTGTCTATTAGTGAAAATAGCACACAGAAATACATCATGTTGTGCAAAATTGCATACAAAATGTGCATCGAAAAATGTACACAATGCATAACAAATGGGTGCAGTAATGGGGCAAATGGAAGTTAAGATGGGGCGTGCAAATAAAAAATTGAAATTGGCAGGTTTCTCCACCCTTAGTTGTGAGACTTGTCCTGCACGAATTTCTAATCCTTTAAAAACCATCTATACTAGTAGTCATCATCGTTTCCTATGACAATGAATTCCATATAAATAGATTGTGTAATGTAGCAAGCTCTTGTTTCACTGCAGCGGCTACCGTTTATTTAACAACAGCCATGTATAGGCTATTCAGAATATGTATTTCATGTCCTGCAGGGAACTTATGTTCTGTGACTGCAGTTCTGTGGAACCTTCTTTGAATGTGGTGGGCATCTGTGTGCTCACCCTTGTCTTTTGGGGAAAGACCATCACTTAGTGATACAGCACCTTCTTGGTACACAGAAAGTTTCAGGATCCGTCCCTGGAAGAGCCACTGTCATTCAAGAGGGTACTACACTGAGCTAGGTAGATAATCTGACCTGGTATCAGGGCACTTCTTAGGTTCAAAGGAATCATTGGTGTAGTTGTGATGTGTGTGTGTGTGTGTGTGTGTGTGTGTGTGTGTGTGTATGCAGTGGGTCTTCTTCACTCACTTAATGCTACAGCCTCTCATGCTCTTGAAAAGCCACTCTTGACAGTGAGGGGAGCTTTTGGAGCACTCTGCAATAGTAATAGTAATTTATTATTTGTACCCTGCCCATCTGGCTGCGTTTCCCCAGCCACTCTGGGCGGCTTACAGCAAAGAATAAAAATACATTAAAATATCACACATTAAAAACTTCCCTGAACAGGGCTGCATTCAGATGTCTTCTAAATGTCAGGTAGTTGTTTATCTCTTTGACATCTGATGGGAGGGCGTTCCACAGGGTGGGCGCCACTACTGAGAAGGCCCTCTGCCTGGTTCCCTGTAGTTTAGCTTCTCGCAGTGAGGGAACCGCCAGAAGGCCCTCAGTGCTGGACCTCAGTGTCTAGGCAGAATGATGGTGGAGATGTTCCTTCAGGTATACTGGGCCGAGGCCATTTAGGGCTTTAAAGGTCAACACCAACACTTTGAATTGTGCTCGGAAATGTACTGGGAGCCAGTGTAGGTCTTTCAGGACCAGTGTTATATGGTCTCGGCAACCGCCCCCCTTCACCAGTCTAGCTGCCACATTCTGGATTAGTTGTAGTTTCCGGGTCACCTCAAAAGGTAGCCCCACGTAGAGCACATTGCAGTAGTCCAAGCGGTAGATAACTAGAGCATGCACCACTCTGGTGAGACAGTCTGCGGGTAGGTAGGGTCTCAGCCTGCATACCAGATGGAGCTGGTAGGCAGCTGCCCTGGACACAGAATTGACCTGTGCCTCCATGGACAGCTATGAGTCCAAAATGACTCCCAGGCTGCGCACCTGGTCCTTCAGGGGCACAGTTACCCCATTCAGGACCAGGGAGTCCTCCATACCTGCCCGCCCCCTGTCCCCCCAGAACAGTACTTCTGTCTTGTCAGGATTCAACCTCAATCCATTAGCTGTCATCCATCCTCCAAATATGGGGAAACAGCAGCAGCAGAATGTAAGAAGAGCCTGCTGGATCAAGCCAGTAGCCTATCTAGTCCAGCATCCTGTTCTCACAGAGACCACCCAGTTGCCTCTGGGAAAGCCTCAAGCAGAACCCAAGCGCAAGAGCACTCTCCACACCTGTGGTTTCCAGCAACTGGAAATATTAAATCTACTCAACTCAACCGTGGAGGAAGAGCACAGCTATCGTGGCTGATAGCCTGGTTCTGCATGATTTGAATCTTCTTTCAAAGCCATCCAAGTTGGTGGCTGTCACTGCCTCCTTATTTGTTGTGTAAAGAACACCAGATCAAATAATCTAGACACACCATACATAACAATGGGCTCACCCTTGGCAAATCCAGATGTATTTCCCGATATCTGAGAGGGGGAAATAAATTTGATTCAGTTTGCATTTAAAGGGGAGCCTACCTAAGTCATGCTTTCCAAGAAAAAATATGCAAAAACATAGCTATCCTTTGAAATTTGCATTTCTTTGAATTTTGCAGTGTAGTTCTCCGCTCCAGGAATGTGTACAAAAATGCATATGATGGGGTAATACATGCATAGAAATTTATATATTAGTGAAAATAACATACAAATGTGCATTATATTTGGGGGAAATTGCTTTGAAAGAGTATGCAGATTAGGTTAAATTGCATACAAAGATGTGCTTGTTAGTAGAAATTTGTACTAAAATGAATTTTCGTTAGGCCTTTTTTAAAAATAATAATGTGGGAATGTGGAGAACTTAATTTAAGATTGGAAAAAGGAGAAACAGTGAAATCAAATTGTCAGATTTGCCCATTGTTACAAGTATCTTAAGTTAAAGGGTCTAAGAAAGCAAATCCTGGGAGGACTTCTACCTGCGATCCTCGAGATCATTTATGTTAGATGCTTCTTTCATCTGAATCAGTAAGAATGTTAACGACTTGATACTTTATTTGTTCCTGCCTTTCCACTTACCAAAATAGTGCCTAAAGTGACAAGCAACAATTAAATCAAAACATTTATAACCACCCCCGCAAAAGAAAGGAGGAACATAAAACATAATTTAAACAGTTGGCTTGGAATGGCAAAAGGAATGGAAATCCCCTCCAAACAAAACTGATTTCTTGATTTGGTTGCAGGGATGGGATTCACCAAACAAGTCCCGTCAGTGCAAGTTAGGGCTTCTTGCTTGCAAAGCATTTTATGGGGTGTTCACCATAGCACAATGCAAAACTCCCTGCAGGGTGTTTATATGTCTTCCCACTAATTGTTTTTTCCACTCTGCACTTTCCAATGCATTTTCCCATCACTTTCCTAGCAGCAAAAAGTCACCTTCCTTTGGATTTGCTGTGGCGGAGCATTAGAGCACTTCAATCTGCTTTAATTATGATTATGAATTGTTGTGGCCCTGGGATTCCTATTGCATATGATGCACTCAAGGGGTTAGTTGGTTGGTTGGTTTATTTTTGCATTTAATTGCTATGCTGTTTCTGAATCATTGAAAGCATCTGACTTTTGACACCTCAAAGGCAAGGGTCAGCTTGCAGTAAGCATGTGTTCCGATGTGCTTTATTGCTAAATTACAAAGAACATGCAATCTTTCATTTTATTCAATACAAATCATTTTTTTTTTATTTACTTAAAAGAAGGCAAGCTGTCTTAGTTATATGTGCTTGGCTTGGAAACAAAGGGATTGTGTTCTTTTTTTAAGAGGTGCTTTATGGTTGCAGAGAGAAAATGTAGCCCTTTTAATGGGACTTTATATATGTGGGATCCATGTCTCCACTCGATTATATATTTCCAAATAATAAATGGGTTTATGGCGCAGTCATATCATGAAAATGTATAGGGGTTGTGTGGGACATGTGTTTCTGAAACCGGCATGAAAAGTTTCCTTCTATTTAAGAGGTGGGGTGTGGAAGGGAATTTGCTTATTTATGATAGCAGGATGCACAGGTATGGGAGGGGATATATGGCTTTATGATGGGAAGCCTCTTCTCCATTGACAAATTCAGATGGTTCAGGCACCCCCACCCTAAATCCCATGAACTTCCCCCCACCCTTATAGTTTGGTTATTTGTTGTAATTACCAGGTCCATTTTTGTCTTTAATAGATGTGATTAGTATATTTAGCACCATCTAATGGGTTTTCTGCCTGGTTGCATCCCAGCTAATATGGAATCCCTCGGAGTACCTTCTGACAGCTGCTCAGAATCCCAGGTTGGCGCAGTCGCTAGAGACTTCTTCCGCAAATCAGCAACATTAGGGGAATTAACTCTGTTAGACTAACCAGAAAATCCAGGATGAAATTTGATTATGAATAGATCTTGAATTAACTTTGAGCAGCTCAAAAGACTTGTGGTCTTGGGTTTCTTTGAATGGGATTTTGAAAAATATCAGGGATGGAAGTGAATCTTATGTTCAGTTCAAGACCGGATTGATCTTTAGGTGAAGCTATAGAGCAGGGATGGGGAACTTCTGGCCCTCCCGATGTTGTTGGACTCCCACCAGTCTCAGTCAATGTGGGTCAGGGAAGTTGGGAGTTGGGGTCTCAGCAACATCTGCAGGGCCATGGATTCTCCACAGCTGTGGCCCTCCAGATGTTGCCAGACTACAACTCCCATCATGCCTGGCCATTGGCCATGCTGGCTAGGACTGCCAGACAGAAACACACGCAGAAAGCGTGAAGCAGGCTGGTGAGGGGTGTGGACTGGGAGGGTCCAGAGTGCCAGATAATGAAGCTAGGAGGGCGACATTTGGCACTGCCCCAGGCCCGAGGTTCCCTGCACCTAATCTAACTTAAAGTCAGCTTCATAGAAGTCCATAACTTTGCCCACAGCCACATTAGCAATGACCTCTGCTATTGTTTCCGCACATTACTTTTCCTGCCCATTCCTGATCTTCTCACTTTTCAGTCTGCAGCACATACTCTGGAGGTCCCAGCTGCTTCCTATTTATCCCATCAATGTCTTGATTTGTAGTGCTGAAAACGCTGGGAACAATTAGCAAATTGGTGATGCGCTGCCGCTCTGGAGTTGCTGGGCAACTGCAGCACCAGCAGACTCTCCAAGTCTCCGGAAGGGGGATACAGAGACAAAAAGATGAAATTAACCCACTTTCTGTGACTTGGTTAGGAGACTATAACGGCTGTCAAGTTATAGAAAGCTTCTATAAACCCAGCCCCAAAATAAGCACTTTACTTACTCCACTTACAAGAAGGAACTATGCATATATATCCAAGGTGAAGCATGAGATCTTTTTTCACAATGGGAAAACATTTACCACCCTTCAAAATATAAACTAATAGCAAACTCCAAGCATGTATACTTTCGTAGCCAAAACAGCAGCAGCTACACAAAGGAGGGAGGTATCAGCAGACTGTGAGGAGCCTGAAATTTTGAACTGGTGCAAAAAAGGAGGGGACTAATGGAGGATACTGATGGTGTTTCCTGCTTGGCAGGGGGTTGGACTCGAAGGCCCTTGTGGTCTCTTCCAACTCTATGATTCTATGATTCCATGATACCCCAAACAGCCCAATCAGTACAGAGCATTTTCAGTGGGTACCAAATGCTGGCTGCTATTGGGGGCATGGAAAATCTGATGGAGGGGGAATAGAATGGGGCATGGCTGGCTGGCACTCTGAACAGAAGCACTGGAGACTGCAACATTTCGCAGTGATGATAGCCTGAGTATAAAATGGCAAGGAAAGGCTTCTCAAAATGTCCACACCCTTGCTGCACGGATCACTTACACAGACAGCAACTGATATCACATGCTTTCAGTAATAGGAGTCATAATAATTTTGGCATGAGTCTCCAGTTTGTTTTCTTTTATGCCCAGCCAACATCCCAGTCCTAAATATATTTCCCCCATGCAGCTCCAATTTGCTTGTGGCCCATGCAATATTTTTAGTGTCTAGAACAATGACACTGCCAAATGACAATTTCCATCATGGTGTGTTGATGATGGAGAGTTGTAGTTCATCTGGAGGGGCACAGTTTAGCCACCCCTGGCCTAGGGGGTTGTCCTGAAACACCTATGAGCCCCATCGAGGTGTATTGGCAAGCCTGGTCAAAAGGGAAGAAGGAATGAAATTAGGCTTTGGAATCAGATCCTGGGGAGGGGCATAGTGGTTTGGGGGGTGTGAGTCAGGACACCAAAGAGACTTGTCAGGCAAAGGAGAGCCTCAGTAACACCAGACTTCCAAAGGGCCAAGGAGGTGCCTCCTGACTTGATTTTAGCACCACCTCACAACATCATAGCTCACCCTGCCTTTGGTGAGGCACTTGAGGCTGGATCAGACAGTGAACCAGTCATGTCAACTGCACAAGGACACAACAACAGCTGTGATGGCATGAGCAGACCCAGCCTACTCACAGGAGTGTCTGTTGGCTTGCCCAGTCCTGAAGCTTGGGATAACAACAGCACAAATAACTGTTCCCACCTTGCTCTTCAGCAGGGGAGCTCAGGAGGCATGTCAACTGTTGATACAATGTCTTAGGCCATGAACCTTAGAGCTCTTAAGTAGCTGCAGGTGCATATCTCATAACCAGATCCATATTTGGGCACTGCAGTAAAATTTGGAATAGTCTATTTGACAGTACAGTGGTACCTCGGGTTACATACGCTTCAGGTTACAGACGCTTCAGGTTACAGACTCCACTAACTCAGAAATAGTACCTTGGGTTAAGAACTTTGCTTCAGGATGAGAACAGAAATCACACGGTGATGGCATGGAGGCAGCGGGAGGCCCTATTAGCTAAAGTGGTACCTCAGGTTAAGAACAGTTTCAGGTTAAGAACGGACCTCCAGAACGAATTAAGTGCTTAACCCAAGGTATCATTGTAATTGAGCCAAGAATGCAAATACTGTATCTTTGAGTGGAAGCCAAGGCAACACAAGTAGCTCAAGTTCACCCCCCACCCAACCCCAACTCAACTGTGAAGCACATTGCATGGCCACAGAGAAGTCATTCCTTCAGCCTAACCGCCTCTCCAAAATACTCATTGGAACACGAAAGTTCTTAGGAGGAAGGGATAGGCAAATATGTCAGCTGCAATTTCTCATTTCTCAAGTTGTGTTTACAGGTCAGCCTATGTAATTCACACTTTCTGAAACAACACTGAAACTGAAAAGCAGCGACCCTTCAAAATTTGTGCTCCCCTGAATCTTGCCATGCAGTTCCCTAGCCAAGTTATGTGTACAGTGATGCATATGGGGTAAAGTGTGCATAAGGATATATTACTGCAAATAGCATACAAAATGCATTATCCTATGTTTTGAGGACTCACTTTATTTGTAGGATCGTAAGTTCTTTTAAATTGTATTTTATACTGTGTTTCAATGCTGTAACTCAACCTGGGACCTTAGGGTGGGTAAAATAATAATAATAATAATAATAATAATAATAATAATCCAAATTGCATACAAAATTGTATGCACTGGGAGAAATTGCCACTGAAATGCTGATGAATTTTCATTATGTATGCTAAATAAATAAATAAATCCCAAACTGAATTTAAGATTGGAAAAATGAGAGATTGGCAGAAACTGAAATTGGCAAATTCATAGTACCGTACTCACTGACTAATAGATTTAGGAACAGCGTGCTTGAGATCATTCCACATTAAGTAAGATGGTTTTATTTCCTGTGTGATATCCCTCCAAAAAGCTGGATAACGCGAGCAACCTCGTAAAGTGTTAGTATTTTTGTATAACACTGCATATCCCTAGTTCCAAAACCTTTGAAAACCAGCCGGGTTAAGATTCTTTCAGCGGAGCAGATATCACCCCACATTACACAATTTGGTGCAAAATCTCGGTCTCTGGGAGGCCAGGCATGTAAAACGAAGCCTGAAAGAAGTTGATCGAGATATATATTCAACTTTGCAAAGGGAGCCCTTATCTCTAGTAGCCAGAAATGTGCTGGGTTTTTCCAAAGTGCAGAGGATCATTACTCCACACCAATGCTGCTTTGCAATTAGCGTTGAAGCTGCAAGATAAGGTGGGGGATATATAAGGAATTAAACACAGATAATGTAAATGCTAACAAAGAAACTTAATCCCCTTTACACTCTCTCTCTCTCTCTCTTTTTGCTTGTTTACTTCCGATTGAAATATTGACATTTAAAGCAAAAGGGTACAACATCAAGTTGCATTTCAATAAAGGTTTGGTCCTAGTTCTGTTATTGTTGTTTTACCAAAGCCAGAAATGAGCGGGAGTGTGTCTTCACATTCTTGAGCATGCCTATACATTCTCATGCTCCTGTTTCCCCACTAAGGCCTGTCAGGTTAGCAAAGATGCCCAAATAACCAAATCTGTAATCAAAGTGTCCTTTGTCCACATGGAAGTTTGTTGATTCATATTTGGAGGAAGGTCAAATTGACAGACAACACCTAACTGTCTAGATAATGACTTGATCAAACTAATTCTTATAGACAGGCATGTACAATGAATTACTCCCTCTCCTGAATTGGATGGGCTTTGACCTTTCCGCCCCAGGTATTATTGCTGATCATTATCACCAAATGGTTAGTACCAAGATTTCCATCCCATTATTTTAGTGTAGATTTCTATTTTATTTCTGTTTTTAATTTTGCATTGGCTGGATTTAAGCAAATGACTTTTATTAACCAATATCCATCCACTGCATAAGTGGGAAAATGAGTTGTTTGCCTTACAGACATTCTTTTTTTTTTCAGCCCCTGCCCATAAATTGTTTTTTTTTATTAAAAAAAAACCCTTTAAAACACCACATCTCCCATAGAAGCACCTTAAAGTGGATTGCTGTGGTTTGAATGCTGCAGAGATTTTCAAGGAAGGTATATGCATTTTGAGGGGGAGGGACCCCTGCCCCCTCCCCTGGGTAGGGGAAAAATAATGGTTGCAGTGCTTGCTTTTTCCAAAGTGCTTCCTAAGAATCTTAGAAATGAAGCTGCATAAAATATGGCTCTATTTTGTATATAGCATATTGCTTCTCCTTTAGATCTATGTCTTTTGCTTATGGAATCAACCCAAGCCAGGGAGATAAACTAATATTTTGTATAAGCTGAGCCAGACAATACACATGATAAAGATGTTTCATCTTCTTATGCATGCAGAAAAATATGAAAAATTGTAGTTTACACATATTTTCTGCCTTCCAGAGTAAAATTGGGCCCCGCAATTGCCCTGGGCCAGTGCGAGTGGTGTTAAGGAAGCCGAATTTACCTAGCAGCCGAGTGAAAAATGATCAAAATATTAGCCTGATCTAGGCCACATTAAGGAGCCATTGCATTTTCTGACAATTTTCGGCAATCTCAATATGAAAACAGAGCAATTGTCAGCTCATATCAGGTTATGATCGGCAATTACAGTTGCATAATTCACCTCATCGTCTCTTTTCAGACCCTTTATTTTCCCTCTCGGTGACGTTCCCGAAGTGCCTGATGAAAATGTCATATATCATCCAGTCTTTTAAAACTCGTAAGGGGGTAATCTCCTATGCCTTGCTGAGCCTACACTCGTCACTAGATCTTCTCTCTCTCCCATATATATATATATATATATATATATATATATATATAATTTTTACTGAGAGAGAGGTCACGGCACTCATAATTTCCTTTTTGATATTGTCCTCAATTGATATGACAAGGGGCTGTAAAAGCTCTATTGTATGCTGCAGTTAAGAGCTGTTCCAGAGGGGCTGATCACGAGCAATAACGCTGCATTACTGAGGGGATTCAGTAGTAGTTGGCCGTTTCGAAGATAATTAGATTTGGTGTCAACATTTCTTTATCACCTGCATCCTTTTGTGCATCTGCGTGTCAAGTTGTTATTTCCGGATTTATTAGCACCCTCAGAGCTACTATCTATCTGTCAGCTCGCGCGATGTCTGTGTTGACAGTTGTAAAGTTAATTACTACTGCTAATGAGCAGCGGGCTTTCGGTGGACATGGTATTTTGGGCATTTAAAAGGATAATTAGATTCTTGTTTCTCCATCTCCATAGCTGGCTATAGGAAGTAAATCTCTAAAAACTAAAAAAGAAGAAGAGAGGGACCATCTCTCTCCCTTCCCACCCCACCCCCCACATGCAAATGAGAAAACCAACCAATCTTAAATAAAAGGCCAACTTCCGGCTTGACTGATTTTGCCGCTATCTTATTGTTTATTCAAACACTCAGATCTGCTTATTTTTCACAAGGCCTCCCTGCAGTTTCTTTGGTTACATCCACCTGAAGAATACAGATTTCCTTCCCTTCCGCATCTCTTGCAATCCAGCAAATCACTGCAGGGCACAGAAACGTTGTTGAAGGCAGTGCTTGATATGCAAGGCACTAACGCAGCCTAAATTTTGCCCCAGGAAAAGCTGGGGTTTGCGATCAGTATGAATTAAACACCATAGACTAAAGGTGCAGCAGCCAGGATGCAGAATTAAACATCCCCATGT